TAACAGGTTTGCTGGTAATGGTTTCGTGTATGTATTTTACCATCCTGATAAATTCTCACCCTTCCATTACTTCATTATAATGTCTATTACTTTACTTAACCATGTAAAAAATTTAGTTACCTTACTATCTTTCAGATTGCTCTATAATCTGAAGTTATTGGGTGCTAATTATCCTATTTGAACAGCTAACTAGTCTTCATGATTATTTCCTTCTAGGGCTAGTAATTTTTATTTCTTTTTTTTGTCTTCAGTAGGTATCATTCTTTATGTAGATATCCAGGGGCCCTGGGTTTTGAAAGCGTCCCTGCTGTTTATTTATTTATTTATTTGAGACAGAGTCTTACTTTCTCACCCAGGCTGGAGTGCAGTGGCACGATCTCGGCTGACTGCAACTTCTGCCTCCCGGGTTCAAGTGATTCTCATGCCTCAGCCTCCTAAGTAGCTGGGATTACAGGTGCGTGCCACCACGCCCAGCTAATTTTTGTATTTTTAGTTGAAACGGGGTTTTATCATGTTGGTCAGGCTGGTCTCGAAATCCCGACCTCGTGATCTGCCCGCCTTGGCTCCCAAAGTGCTGGGATTACAGGCATAAGCCACCATGCCCAGCCCCTGCAGATAATTTTTTATTTTTCTTTTGCTGTGAGCCCAGGGATTTTAATGGTCCCAAACCAGTTTATAACAAGTTCTTAGCTTGCAATTCACATATATAAGAGTAGTATAAACTAAGATCCCACACCTTCAAGTTTTACAGATGTGAGGACTGGATTACCAAACAATAATTTTTCCTTTTCAACTAAGATCTCAGACATCTTTTTTTTTTTTTTTTTTTTTTTTTTTTGGGACAGAGTTTCGCTCTTGTTACCCAGGCTGGAGTGCAATGGCGCGATCTCGGCTCACCGAAACCTCCGCCTCCTGGGTTCGGGCAATTCTCCTGCCTCAGCCTCCTGAGTAGCTGGGATTACAGGCACGCGCCACCATGCCCAGCTAATGTTTTGTAGTTTTAGTAGAGATGGGGTTTCACCATGTTGACCAGGATGGTCTTGATCTCTTGACCTCGTGATCCACCCGCCTCAGCCTCCCAAAGTGCTGGGATTACAGGCTTGAGCCACCGCGCCCGGCTGATCTCAGACATCTTACAACTCCCTTACACCTCCCTATGTAACGAGTAAAGGTTTTCCACACTAGTGCTATTGAACAAAACATTGTGTATCAACCAATTTGAAAGCCACTAGCTACCTGAGGCTAGTAAATATTTAAAATGTAGCTATAGGACCAGGTGCAGTGGCTCATGCCTATAAACCCAGCGCTTTGGGAGGCCAAGGTGGGCAGATCACCTAAGGTCAGGAGTTTGAGACCAGCCTGGCCTACGTGTTGAAACCCCATCTCTACTAATAATACAAAAATTAGCCAGGCGTGATGACAGGTGCCTGTAATCCCAGCTACTATGGAGGCTGAGGCAGGAGAATCGCTTGAACCCAGGAGGTGGAGGCTGCAGTGAGCCGAGATTACACCATTATGCCAACCTCGGCGACAAGAGCAAAGCTCTGTCTCAAAAACAAAAAAAGCTGGGTGCAGTAGCTCAGGCCTGTAATCCCAGCACTTTGGGAGTTTGAGGCTGGCAGATCACTTGAAGTCAGGAGTTCAAGACCAGTCTGGCCAACATGGGGAAACCCTGTCTGTACTAAAAATACAAAAATTAGCTGGGCGTAGTGGCGGGTGCCTGTAATCCCAGCTACTCAGAAGGCTGAGGCAGGAGAATAGTTTGAACCCGGGAGGCAGAGGTTGTGGTGAGCCCTGAGTCATGCCACCGTACTCTAGCCTGGGTGACAAGGCAAGACTCCGTCTCAAAAAAAAGTTAAAAAAAAAAAAATTAATTGGCTGAGCTCGGTGGCTCATACCTGTAATCCCAGCTCTTTGGGAGGCCAAGGCATTGGATCACCTGAGGTCAGGAGTTCAAGACCAGCCTGGTCAACATGGTAAAACCCTGTCTCCACTAAAAATACAAAAAATAGGCCAGGTGTAGTGGCTCATGCCTGTTATCCCAGCACTTTGGGAGGCTGAGGTGGGAGGATCACGAGGTCAACAGATTGGAACCATTCTGGCCAACACGGCAAAACCCTGTCTCTACTAAAAACACAAAAATTAGGGGGATGTGGTGGTGCACGCCTGTAGTCCCAGCTACTCAGGGGGCTGAGGCAGGACAATTGCTTGAACCTGGGAGGCAGAGGTTGTAATGAGCTGAGATTGCACTCCAGCCTCGGCAACAGAGTGAAGCTCCATCTCAAAGCAAAACAAAACCAAAAATTAGCCAGGCATGGTGGTGTGTGCCTGTAATCTCAGCTATTTGGGAGGCTGAGGCAGGAGAATCATTTGAACCTGGGAGGCGGAGGTTGCAGTGAGCCGAGATTACACCACTACCCTCCAGCCTGGGCAACAAGATCAAAACTGTCTAAGAAAAAAAAAAAAAAAAAAGGAAATAAAATTAATTTAAATAGTCATATACGAATAGTGGCTATTCTCCTGGATAATGTAATTCTGGACCTTTTTTTTTGGGCATACGAAAATTTATTACTACAGTGTTTTCATCATTAAATTTTATGATCTTGGTCTTTTCTTCTTGCCTTTGTATAGGGCCAAAAGAGAGGCACTGGCTACTTTGACAACCTTAAAGCAGACTTCAGGAATATCACCAACAGCATGACCTTTTTGATCAAATCCAGAAATTCTGGACCATTTTTAAGCAAGAAGGTGTGGATTTTAGCTAATGGTTTTAGTCATACTAATTATACATTTCAAAAGAACAAGGCTACATTTACTATCCCAGTCTGACTTTGGTTTCTCTCTTCATTTCTGGTACTTTGAGGTATCCTTTTCTTTCTTTCTTTGACATATTTAAAACTGCACATATCTAGGGTACACTACTTTGATGAGGTTTAACATACATAGACATCTGTAAAATCACCATCATGATCAAGAAAATATAAACAGAGCTGGGTGTAGTGGCTCACACCTGTAATCCCAGCACATTGGAAGGCTGAGGAGGGCAGATCACTTGAGGTCAGGAGTTCAGGACCAGCCTGGCCAATATGGTAAAACACTGTCTCTACTAAAAATACAAAAATTAGCCAGGTGTTGTAGTACAGGCATGTATCCCCAGCTAGCTAGAAGGCTGAGGAGCAAGAATTTCTTCAACCCGTGAAGTGGAGGTTGCAGAGTGCTAAGAAGATCACACCACTGCACTCATAGAGCAAGACTCTGTCTTAAAAAACAAAAACAAAAACAAAAACAAAAAAAACTCAATTGTAGCCTCAACCTCTTAAGCTCAAGCGATCCTCTCATTTCAGCCTCTTAAGTAGCTGGGACTACAGGTGCATGCTACCATGCCCACCCAATTTAAGAATTTTTTTCCATAGAGATGGGATCTCACTATGTTGCCCAGGCTGATCTTGAACTCCTGATCATCCCACTTCAGCCTCCCAAACTGCTGGGATTACAGGCATGAGGCACCATACCTGGCCTGTTTTCTAATTACTGAATTTTCGGAGTTCTGATGTGTTCTTGGATACACATTCTCTATCAGATCTATGAACTGCAAATATTTTCTCCCAGTGTATGGTTTATGTTTTCATTCTTTTAATTATCTTTCAATGAGAAGTAGTTTTGAAATTTTGTTGAACTCCAATTTACCAATTTTTTCCCTTATGAATTGTGCATTTAGTGTCTACCTAAGAAACTTTTTGCCTAATGTACAGTTGCAAAAATTTTCTTTGTTTTCTTCTAGAAGGTTTATATTTAAGTTGAAATTTAGGTTGATAATCCATTATGAGTTGGATAAATAATAAAGATAACCAATGAAACCAGAAGCTGGTTCTTTGAAAAGGTCAATATAATTGCTAAACTCTAGGTAGACCAACAAATAAAAAGAGGACACAATTATTGAACACAAATTACCAACATCAAAAGGAAAGAGATGTTGTTAAAGACCCTACAGATATTTAAAATGGTTAACAAGGAAATGTTAATAAATTTATGCTAATAAATTTTGTGACTTTGGTGAAATACACTCCTTAAAAGCAATAAATTGGCTGTGTGAGGTGGCTCACGCCTATAATCCCAGCACTTTGGGAGGCTAAGGCAGGTGGATCACTTGAGGTCAAGAGTTCGTGATCAGCCTGGCCAACATGGTGAAACCCTGTCTCTACTAAAAATACAAAAATCAGCCAAGCGTTGTGGTGTGTGCCTGTAATCCCAGCTTCTCAGGAGGCTGAGGCAGGAGAATTGCTTGAACCTGGGAGGAGGAGGAGGTTGCAGTGAGCCAAGATTGCATCACTACACTTCAGCCTGGGTGACAGGGCAAGGCTCCGTCTCAAAAAAAAAAAAAGTAAATAAAAAAGGGCAATAAATTATCAAAATTTAACTTTGAATAAATACAAAAATCTCATCAGGCTAAATCTTTTAAACAAATTGTACAGTGTAAGCTTTAAGGAAATGAAAAAACATGTTCACATGGTGGAGAATATAAAAATTTATAACAAAATATAAAATTTATAATATATAGTAAGTATATCTAGAATACATAATTATTATAATATAGTAAGTCAACTCTTTGAAGAAACAGACAAAAGACTTGAATAGACATTTTAGCGAAGATGTACAGATGGTAAATAAGCACATGACAGTGCTCAACATCATTAGGCATTAGGGAAATAGAAATGAAACCACAATGAGAATTTTCAGTATGGGAAGATGAAAAAGTTCTGGAGAGAGTGGTGCTGATTATATAACAATGTGAATGTACTTAATGCCACTGAACATTGTGCTTAAAATGGTTAAAATAGTAAATTTTAGTTATATTTTACTACAATAAAGAGCTATATTTGGCCGGGCGCGGTGGCTCAAGCCTGTAATCCCAGCACTTTGGGAGGCCGAGGCGGGTGGATCACGAGGTCAAGAGATCGAGACCATCCTGGTCAACATGGTGAAACCCCGTCTCTACTAAAAATACAAAAAATTAGCTGGGCATGGTGGTGCATGCCTGTAGTCCCAGGTACTCAGGAGGCTGAGGCAGGAGAATTGCCTGAACCCGGGAGGTGGAGGTTGCGGTGAGCCGAGATCGCGCCATTGCACTCCAGCCTGGGTAACAAGAGCGAAACTCCGTCTCAAAAAAAAAAAAAAAAAAAAAAAAAAAAAAAGAGCTATATTAATTCTATATAATTAATATAGTTAAATACTAGCTGGGCAGAGTGACTCACACCTGTGATCCTAGCAGCTTGGGAGGCCGAGGTGGGAGGATCACTTGAGGTCAGGAGTTTGAGATCAGCTGGCCTACATAGCAAAACTGTATCTCTACTAAAAATACAAAAATTAGCCAGGTGTTGCGGTGCATGCCTGTAACCCCAGCTACTCCGGAGGCTGAGGCAGGGAATTGCTAGAACCAGGGAGGCAGAGACTGCAGTGAGTCAAGATTGTGCCACTGCACTCCAGACTGGGAGACAGAGTGAGACTCGGTCTCAGAAAAAAAAAATGACATATATATTTAAATACCCTATATTTAAAAGAAATCACCTTAAAGATTTGAAATGAGATGTGAACTATTAGTGTGACTAGAGAAAAAAAAAAGAAAATCTTAAGTATTTCTAACATAATGTTAGAAGACCTCTGCTGCGTGCAGTGGCTGACAACTGTAATCCCAGTACTTCAGGAGGCCAGGGCAGGTGGATTACTTGAGCCCAGGGGTTTGAGATCAGCCTGGGCAATGTGGCAAAATCCTCTCTCTACAAAATATATGAGAATTAGCTGAGATGTACTCCTGTAGTACCAGTTACTCTGGAGACTGAGGTGAGTGGATTGTGTGAACCTGGGTGGTTGAGGCTGCAGTGAGCCATGATCATGCCATTGCACACCAGCCTGAGTGACAGAGCAAAACCCTGTCCTTTTTTTTTTGAGATGGAGTTTTACTCTGTTGCCCAGGCTGCAGTGCAGTGATGCCTGCTGGCTTACCACAACCTCTGCCTCCCAGGTTCAAGAGATTCTCCTGCCTCAGCCTCCTCAGTAACTGGGACTACAGGCGCATGCTACCACCACACCCGGCTAATTTTTCATATTTTTAGTAGAGACAGGGTTTCACTGTATAAGCCAGGATAGTCTCGATCTCCTGATCTTATGATCTGCTCACCTCGGCCTCCCAAAGTGCTAGGATAACAGGTGTGAGCCATCGTCCCCAGCTGCAAAACCCTGTCTTAAAAAGCAAAACAGCTTTCTCTGCCATCGTGGTGTGTGCTTTACTCAGTTTCTCGCCATGTCTTCTCACAAGACTCAGGATTAAGCGATTCCTGGCCAAGAAACAAAAGCAAAATAGTCCCATTCCCCAGTGGATTTGGATGAAAACTGGTAATAAAATCAGGTACAACTCCAAAAGGAGACACTGGAGAGGAACCAAGCTGGGTCTATAAGAAATTATACATGCGATGGCACACATATTTACGCTGTCTGAAGGTCACAATCGTGTTACCAAATCAAGCTGAAAAATGTCACCGCAATCTGGAGAAGTTTGAACAGTTTCCTCTCTGTATCTGTTATGAAGGCATTAGTTAGTACAACCCACAGTGCTTCCATTATTCATGTTAAAAAAAAAAAAAAAAAAAAAAA